TTTCAGTGTAATAAAGTTCAAGAGAGGAATCAATTTATTGTCGTTATTCAAGGAAATAAGAATTTCTGAAAATGAATTTAAACGCTTTAACTATGATTTCCGTTCAAGAGTTTTAAAGTTGATTGATAGAACACCAAAATCAGCTAATTTCATTGTGAAAGATGTGTGAATACACTTTAAAAGCCAATTTTTGAATGTGAAAAGCGTAAAAAAAACAGTTTTCTCACAATATTTTTGATACACGTCATGCATCAAAACGTTATTTCATCTGCAAAACATATTAACTATTGCAAAAAAAAATGTTGCACCCTTGCCAGATGCAAAAGACATCTTTTAAAGCATCTTCAAGCATCATTTTTGGTAAACGTAATTGGTTTTGATGTTTTTTTTCAATGGACATGAAAAAGATCAAACGGAAACCATGATTAGGATAGTTAAACGCGTTTTTAGAAATTCTTGTCTACTTGAATAGTTGACAATAAGAAATTCTTTTTAATGTTCCTGATACTTCTTATTCTTTGCAAGTTACTGCTACAGTCGAAAAGTAGTATTTTAATTTCAATACTCTAATATTGAAGTTATTGTCAGATCAATTCATCAATAGAAATATATGCTACATAAGTTATAGTATTTATTTATTTATTTATTTATTATTGTTACATTTTCATTTGCATATCGATGAGCAAGAGATGGTAAGGCAGCAGCGGTTTTTCATTTCAGGCGAATACAAAAGAAGAACATAAAAACGATGTGGACCTTTCGAATTTCTGTTAGATTGATATTAATCTCAGATTAATCTCTGGTGAAATTTCATACAGAATTTGAATAATTTGCTTCATAGGATTTATTTGGTATTCGATCAAACTAAAAATTCAAGATATCAGTCTAATTAATGAAGATAGACGATATTTATAGAGGATTCATTGTCTGTGACCTAATTAGTAATACAGTAAGCTGATAATTAACATAAGGTCATGAAAAGTTCCAAGGAATATATAATTATATTTCTTTTTTTGTTATGCCAATCACGTAGAAATCCTATATTGATTGCAGGAGACATCGAACTATGAATGTATATATATATATGTTTTTTATAGTAATTATTCTCATTGTTCGTCTCCATGTTTATCAATAGGTCAACATTCGTTTTATTGAAAAGAAGTAGTGTCTGGAAAATTAAATCGAACATTAGTTTGCATTCATGTTGATGGACAATAGATGATATTTCATTGACTATCAAACCAATATTTTTATTATCGAGATTGAACATCTTGTTTATTATTTGTTATTAATGCTGAATAACTAGTCACATTTCACACTGTATTCCTATACTAAGCAATCAATCTGATCATTATTGTAAGTATACTGTTTGGTATTCAAGCATTTCTTGACATTATTTGTTGCTCAATATCAAATTCTCTAACTGCAACAATTTTAGAGAATCAGCTCAAGCAAGTGTCATTTCTACTGTTTTTCAATACGTACATTTGTAGATACCTCAATTTTATATTGTTCTTACATTCGATCCATTTCTTAATAACGTATTTTCATCTGGTAGTATCGTGTATTCATTAATGTTTGTCCTGAATGTTTAATTTAGGGTTATCTATATCAAAATGAGGATAGCGAATGGTTATGGAAAAAGCTCGAAATTAATAGGAAAAGATAAAGTGGTAGATAGGATATAAATACAGATCACGCAGATTGCATTACACTTTTTTTTTGTTGTTAACATTTGTGTGATATTTGTCATTAATTAAGTACGAACTTTACAAGAACATATAAAATCGAGATTGTTAAAGAAATATTATTTCCTTGTTTATATCGTTGCACTTGTCAACAATGGAATGAATCTTTTAGGCATCAGGTGCAAATACCACTCTAGTATCATTGAAAGGCTATATTGATATTTATTAAATTATTTTCAATAAAAGTATTTTTATCAATATACTAGACGTAAATAAGAAGTTTAGTACATTTATTTTTATTGTAAAAAGTACTTGTTTGATGTTAATTTCAAGTTATTATCATGAAATAATTAAAATTACAATGTTTATTTTAGAAAGATGTTCCAAAAAATATAAATTAAAAGAAATAGTTATTCATTTGAAATTTTGAATAAAGTTTTGAATGATAAACATAAATTTTATCTATGAATACAAATAATTAGTTTATTCAGTTATTCAATAATAGATTGCAAGAAATAATTTTTTGTTCGGTAGTTTTTATTTGTTTCATATAGGGAATAATATATTGGTGCAAGAAAACTTGATTGTAATAGTAATATTTTTATGTGTGTCAAATCAGTTCAAACTGTATATTATTATAGTAGTTGAATTTCAAATGAACGAGTATCGAATTCTTTAAATATCAATAGCAGTTTTGACAATATTTCCTTCCATTGTATTAATACTATTCAATCTTCATTGTATCGTTTTGTAATTGAAAATAAGTATTTAGTGGAATTATGAAAGTTATTTCAATACTTTTCAAGTTTTTCTAAGAGATTCATTTAGACAACTGCTTTTCATTTTCGCATATTTTAGTGAATTAATATTTCATGATACGTATAAAGATTGATAAAAGTTCCGTATTTGAATGGTTTTTTCTTATGAATTACTTTTTGATCCATATACAATTTGAAAAAAAAACAATTAGAAATTGATAAAGAAGGTTAGGTCATATTGACGTAATTCTATTAATGTCATATTGATTGGGCTTCTTTTCGTATTTGTGGAATGTCAATGAAATGTGAGAGTATGATTAATTCTATCTTTCATGAAAAGTAATAAATATTTATTTTCATAGAAGAAGTAAATCAAATAAAGAATATAGATTTTAATCAGTCTATCAGAATAAATTACAACAATGCACAATATATAGCATTTCAGATTATATTTTAAATTGATATGTTTTCTATCATACTTTGAGAACATCACAAGTTGTTAGTATTTTAATTGTCAATAAATGTTTCATACGAAAATACACAAAAAATCAAAAGAAACAATATAAGGTGCAGGCAATTCAAACTTCGAGTAAAAATTTTTTTTTTGCCATTTTTTTACATCATTTGATAGAGTGAGAGCTGCTGATCACGAAGATCTACTTTTTAGCCTTAGCAAATGCTTCCTTCCGGTTGAAAAATACGAAATACTTGAGAGGTGTCGTTTTTCGACAAAAAATGCATCCTTTGCAAAAATGTGCAAAATTTTCTATTTCGTTCTTATTTTTTGTTTCTGAAAATATTTTTTTTCAGATTCAGCATCAAAAACTGAGTAGAAATAAGTTGTTCAATGGACTCTAGAACCAAAACTCTATTGGTGGGGGAGCTTCGAATAGCGTCGAGTCCACCCTGTCTGTATACGTCGATTTTGTAAACCTATCTAGTTTTTCTATATCAGAGATAGAGCCAAATATTTTGTCTTATTCTATTTATCATACCACCCCTCAACATGCCTAGTATCATTTTTTTTTTCTTTCCTTTCCTAAGTTGAGAAAACTCGTTTTTACTGGACCCATAGCCATTTTAGGCGGTATTCAATGGTTTTCGAATTCTAAAAAGACTTTTAGTCACAAGCTATATGCAGATTCGGAATTAGCGCAAAAAATTGAGTCAAATGACGTGTCTTTCGAGTTAATTTGACAACTTTCATTTTTTGACCCGTATACAAGAACTTCAGTTCTCTGACATTATCTGAAAAAATGAGAAAAAAATGAAAGTTGTCAAATTAACTCGAAAGACACGTCATTTAACTCAATTTTTTGTGCTGATTCCGAATCTGCATATAGTTTGTGACTAAAAGTCTTTTTAGAATTCGAAAACCATTGAATACCGCCTAAAATGGCTATGGGTCCAGTAAAAACGAGTTTTCTCAACTTAGGAAAGGAAAGAAAAAAAATGATACTAGGCGCGCTGAGGGGTGGTATGATAAATAGAATAAGACAAAATATTTGGCTCTATCTCTGATATAGAAAAACTAGATAGGTTTACAAAATCGACGTATACAGACAGGGTGGACTCGACGCTATTCGAAGCTCCCCCACCAATAGAGTTTTGGTTCTAGAGTCCATTGAACAACTTATTTCTACTCAGTTTTTGATGCTGAATCTGAAAAAAAATATTTTCAGAAACAAAAAATAAGAACGAAATAGAAAATTTTGCACATTTTTGCAAAGGATGCATTTTTCTCGAAAAACGACACCCTTCAAGTATTTCGTATTTTCAACCGGAAGGAGGCATTTGCTAAGGCTAAAAAGTAGATTTTCGTGATCAGCAGCTCTCACTCTATCAAAAGATGTAAAAAAATGGCAAAAAAAAATTTTTACTCGAAGTTTGAATTGCCTGCACCTTACTTTTGATTATATATTTTGAAATATGACTTGCATAGAGCTCTGTTCTTTTTATTATGAATATAGCTTATATAGTGAAAGAAAGAACGAAAATGATAAATTTTATTTACTTCATTTTTTTACCTGCATAAGTATTGTGAAGGACACATGTGTATTATAATAGAGTTCGTATGATGTTTTTCTTTTGTTGATTAGGTTCGTTTGTCTTCCTTTCTATTCGTTTCTGTTTCTTTTCTTGTCTTTTGTTATATGGTAAAATGTAAAAAGAACAAACTATGATATGATGTAATGCATGAGTTAAGTACTTTATTTATAATATACATTATAATCAAAGATAATATTTTTATTAAAAACATTAATCTAAATTATTATTCAATTTCAGTGTTAAAAATTCACTAAAATAGATGATTAAATACAATAAATAGTAATAAGTTTCGAAATAAAACAAAGTGAATAGACGATTATTGTTCCGTTTCGTTGATTATATTATATAAATGAAATGTTTTTTTGTTGTTTTTTTTGTTGTTTTCATTCAACACTATATGACACATGACTATGGTCATAATAGATTCTGCAGCTTTGTTTTCTTTTTTCTTTTCTTTTTTGATTCATTAATTTCTATAGGTAAAGGTTTATAAACAATTGTAACAATGTCCAACAATATTGATACTAATACAACTGCTAACTGGCAATTTATTCGAGCAGTTGAAGAAGCATTTTTTTTACTTGATCGTAATCATGATCGTTTAGTTAAAGAAGATGATTTTTGTGCAATCGCCAAATCTGTCGGTAAAACAAAAAGAAAATTAATTCTTAATCAAATCAAATATTTTGATATTTTGTTTTTTCTACTAATTAGGTATAAACTTAGATTCTAATGAAGCATTAAAATTAATTCGTACGACTATTCGTGAACAAACAGAAGATGAAGTAGATGAAACAGAATTAACAGTTGATCAATATTCAACATTAATGCTTCGTTATGTTGGTTCATCAGAATTAAATGACGAATTACGTCAAACATTCGATGTATTTGATCGAGATCATGATGGATTAATAACACGAAAAGATATGGATAAACTTCGATCTGAAAGTTTATTATTTAATCAACTAGATGATGAACAATATGAACTTATGGTTAACGAATTATTAATTCAAGGCAATAATAATAATAATGGACTTGATTTTAATCAATTTGTTAATTTAATGATGCATCAATAGTAGTTTTTTTTTCTTCTTCTCTTTCGTTTATTTGACTTCTTTTTGTATTTATACACAAGTGACGACATCTTTGACTAATAAAAGAGGTTTTTCATCTTGAAAATGATTCGAGTATAACAAAAAAGAATGATTTTTCGTTCATTGTAATATTTGATTAAGATTAAAATAATAATAATGGGTGATACTTTGATTTTAAAGTCGATTGATGGACAAAGATTAACAGATAAATTAATTATTTCATGGTTTGATGCGAATGAAATTTTTATTACAAAAAAAGTTTTTTCTGATGATCGATATTCAGTTGAAATTACTTTTGTTGATGAAGAAAGTATGAAATTAACTAAAGCAAAAAACGAACACGAAGAAAAAGTTAGCAAATAAAACATTTTTTAATTTATATTTAAGGAGCTGATATGTTATCTGATTTATTGAAGACTTGCTATAGTGATTATATATCTGTAGGACGTCCTGAAACTTTGGTAGAATCATTAGATAATTCATTTGATGATGAACGTGTACCATCACCTGTCCATCTTTCTTCTGCATCATCAATATCATCAAGAGTATCTTGTTTTTCACAACGACTTATTGCATTAGATAAGAAAAATAATGATAATTCAATGAAATCTACATTTGGTCGTGGACGAGGTATTGATACTGGTCTATCACAAATTAATATGACAATAGGAAAAGAAATAAGTGATGATGAAAATGATTCATTAATCAATACTAGTAATGGAACATCACCAGTATCATCGTTAATAGATAATGGTAAGTTTTATTTTGATCATTACAGTTAAACAGTGAATTCTTTTATTTGAAAATTTTAGATGTATCGTCAGGACTTGGACGTGGAAGAGGTTCTATTTTGAGATAGATTTGCTTTTTGTTCTATGATTTTCTGTTTTTTCTTTTTTTGTTATCATACATAATTCTTGTCTATGATGTTGTTATATATTTGAATGTATAAACTATTAATAGATTTTTTTCAAGATGATAAAAACATTTGTACCACGCGTATCGAAATTAGCAATTATTCCAGTCGATCGTGAAAGTCTATTAAATTCTATTATTTATTTTGAAAAATCCAGTGATCAAATTTCAAATCGATGTATTCTTTCACTTAAAGATATATGTACTCGTCGTCTTTTATTATTTTTTGGTGATGATCATGAGATATACAATAAGTACTTATCATCGTCACTTGTTCGATATGTTACATATGATTATTTGACAGAAACAAATAATAATCAATATCGATTAATAAATAATGATAAATCTTTTTCTAATATAAAATTATTAGTTTGTCGTAATTGTTCATTGAATAATATAGGTAAATCAAAATGTCGTCGTCGAAAATGTTTAGCAAATCGTGTACGACAAGTTCTTAATCAATTATCATGTCAAATAATTCCATGGGAAAAACGAGAACAATTTGTTATTCTTGAAAATAATGATGGCGATGATGATGATGATGATGATGACGATAATTCAATTGTGTTTATCTATCTTAAGTCGAATTATTCTCGATATGAATCATCGAAACAAAAACATGAAAAAAATTGTGATCGAAATTGGATTCAAAAACAATTCTATTTACTTGATTTACTTCGTATACTTGATATCAATATAGCTCGAAATTAAAATCAATGATTATTAGAAAATTTTATTATTGATATACAATGAAATATGCACTTTTTTCAGTAGATTTTGTTTATTTTGCTGTTTCTTTTTATGAAATATGCGCGATTTTTTTATTTGATTAGCCGTAGTTATTATAATAAAATCTATAGCATAATCCTTGTAGGATTGACACATGAAACAAGAATGTAATGTCCGTGCCAGAATTAGAAAGGGATTGATGTAAATTGAATAACTCAACAACGGCAACAGCTAGCGATCTGCGGTTTTCACCAATCGAAAGAGGAAATCGGAGGACATATGTTTTTACGATATTGTTTCTAACAAAATTGCTTTGGACACTGTCATTTCTGAAAGTCTTTTCTGAGACGACCTACAAATGGTATGCCAATACAATGAATTTTTATTTTGATATTCTCATTAGATAGAGGGACTTCAGATCTATAGTTCAAGATACAATG